ACACTCCCTAAGTTAAGAAGTGAATGAGGAATTGTTTTGAAATTTATGTACTAACAAAACGATATTTTCATAGTTCATTATGTCAAGCTTACTGAATTGATACGAGTAGTTTACTACTGATAATAGTCGCGATGAGAAGAATTGGCACGTACTCTGAAGTGACATAATCGGAATTCAAAAGACATCATGTTCGTGCATGATGGCTTCTACGTCTATTCCAATTCATGATTACTTTCATACAATTCCGATCCACATTTCCAATTTTATAATAGAACTATATATAAAAATATGGGATAGATGGATAAATTTTAACCCATCATTTCGCATAGATATTATACAAGTATATTTTAACTTACTCCTAAATTTTTTTATCAGGTAAAATGTCATCAATGTTTTCTGATATTGAGTTTGATAAGTACTAGAGTTTGTTCAATGCTATATTAATAGGAAGTTGTAATGAAAATATTGAATATAATTCCTTATTCTTCAAAGTAAAAATACACTTGACATACTTAAGTATGCTAGAATATTGCCAAATTTCTACCCAAACGATGTTAACGAAATCGAATATCATAGCAATGTAAGAAGTTTGTCTGAATCAATCAAATGACTTAATTCGATTTATGAGCTAAAATTCGAAAGATTTCCTGATTAGACAATGTGTAAGTCATATTCAAATTTTAAAACAATAACTAATATCACCGCACACATATAATAAGCTAGATGAGCTTTAAGAAAGGCATGAAATGCTCGACCTTAGCACTATTCATTGTAGATATTGACAATGGCTGCTTTTTCTGAAGAATAGGAGGTAATTTAACAGCATAAATGAAGTGACAGGGGAACGAATGAAAACTTAAAAACTTCAAATTTGATTGGATTTGCTGAACCATGATAATGTTGTTCTTAAAGGAAAAAATAAAATAACCCAAACAAATCACTGTTGCCTTCAGTCGATTCCACGAAAACAATCTATACCACTTTATATGAATGCATTACAATTGAAGTTCGGATAAAATGTAAAAGACAAACTTTTATTAACTATATTGCACTTCTGAAATCACTGCATATTCCTACTCCCAATTGGGACGAAAGTTAAAACCTACAAAGTCAATGCAAAGCTATGAAATTTCGCTAAATATTATGCAAAACCATCGTAAATATTAATATTTCTCTAAACAGAAAATATAAAATCCTTATTAATAGTATTAAATTGAGTCCAATAGTCATAATTATTTGGTGGAGCTAAATAATTGTTAATGACCTTCAAAATCTGCGCTATTTACGGATTCCCTTTTCCGATGACTTTTGGCTTTTATCTGTGTCTAGTTATGATTGTTGGCCGGTAAGGTGCATTTGTGTCTTTATTAGTAATTAATTAAGCATTATTAAGCTTCCAGTTGTGGAGAATTTTGGCTGCAGAAAATCTACTTCCCCTGAATTATTCGTCGATCATTTCTAGACTATTTTCATTTCCCCTGTGCCGATTGGATTGTGGAACAGCATTAAGTGGTTGAAGTAATATTAAGGTGAGATTGCTCTATGTTGATTGGCATTCATTATAGGTGGTATTTTGTGGTAATCCTAAACAGTGGAGCACTCCAATTCAATTCCAAGTTATAGTCACCATGTTGAATCGCCAAGTGTTGGCTTTAGCGTGATAGAATTCTTTCCAATTTGTTTCTAATTGGTCTCCCTTCGCTTGGATTATACCTGTAGGAATTCTGGAGCGTTCAGTTAGTAGCTTTCGGCGTATATTTATTGAAGTAAGTTTTTTGTTTTTGGTCTATTTCCACTTAAATATTCCCAATCGAATTTTTAACTATTCGTTTATAGTGGGTCGTTGTCAAATAAGGATCTTGGCGATTTGACAAATTCTGCATTTATGTTCGGACTTAATCGACTTCAGACCAGGATCATATTGGTGTGCTTTCGTAATTGAAATATAGTTGCAATCATTTTGTGCTTTAGTAATTTTATGTTAAATTCCAGTTTATCTTCGATGTATGCCAAAAGTTTGCTCCAATAAAATTCGTGATCAAGATCTCCATGGTAATTGCCACTTTCAATTGAATTTCTTAATTTCTGTCAATTTAAATAATTCTATCTGCATCTATATATTTGATATCCTTTCGATCCTTTATTGAGAGTTGTGTTTTCAGATTTGACCAACACGATGGCTCACAAGTTGGTGCAATTTGTTCCTCAGCTTATGCTGTGATTTGACTGATCCGATACAGTATGGATTGCTTATTGACTGGCTTAGAATATAGTTTTACTCACTTTTTTAAATTTTGTAAATCAATTATCATTTCGAGTGCTTTGTGGCTTTAATCACGATAAACGCTACTTGTATATAACCGATATCCTTGCATCTATAGTGTGAGTTTTCAGTGTGTTTTAAAATATCAGTTGTTTATGTCTGTATGTTATTACTCTCATTTATTAATTGCATATGATAGAAATTGTTTTATGCTCATACCAAAGCAGTTTACTTCCTTAGTGCAATAAGAATTTCGACCTTTTCATTGATCTCTATAGTAGCTGCACAACTCCCAACTCCTTAATTTTTTTCTCTATACTTCTTCGTTCATTTACTTTGAACATTTTTAATGCAGTGACGAAGTCATTTTATTATACGCTGATTTGGATCATCAACTGAGTTTTCGTCCTCTACACTTTCCGCTATTTTCTTTTCCTGCTTTAGTACTGGAATGGAACCGATCGTTTTGGGTGCCTACAAGGAGGACTACGAGAGTGTTCTTCCACCTCATTCCTACATCAACGTGGATGACTTGGACTCTATTCAGGAACTTGCTGAGTACCTTCAGTTCTTGGACAAGAATGACACTGCTTACGCACAATATTTTGCTTGGACAAAACATGGCCCAATTATCGTAAATTCCGATTCACCTAGGATGATTATTTGTTGCATGAAACTGGTTGCTGTAATTCATTTTCAATTGTGTTTAAGATTGTGAACGCAATATCGCACAGAGGTCAAAGGTCCTTCTGAAAGTTTTCACGCGCAGCGCATTGGAGAATGAATTGCTCAGAATGTTTCCTGTCATTCTAGTTGGAATTGCGAATACCATTAGGGGGAGATCTTGGATGTTGTCCTGCCGAACTTGTTTTTGATACAACTCAAAGGCTGATTTGAAAATTTATTTTCGACTCTCAAGACATCTGTCGTATTCCGCCGGATTAAATGACAATTTCATATCTGTCCGACCAATACCCACTCGCATGAATGATGTATCAGCTCAACTTAATAAAGACTTAAAAACGTTTGTCTGCGTTTTGGTTAGGCAGGCGCATTGGGTGAATTCTGTGCACCAATTGTATGATGGACCTTTCCAAGATATTAAACGCAAATCCAAATATTTCATTATTGAAAGCAACGGTGCCAAGTAATCAAATGATCATATGAAGATGACTTATTGTATACAGCGTAGATCTGGGTTTAATATTCTCTCCTCATTCTTTTGAATATTCAATTACTTCTAAGGTACTCAACCTTTATTGTAATTGACAAGAAAAATTCTCAAATTTAGAAGTAGAATTCTTCGCATTCTCGCACTAACTAACTACAGTCTCATCAATCTATTTGTGTTGCATTGGTAAAGGCGCTTGATAGGTGTTTGAATAGCAGTGAAGAAATGATACTTACAGTGGGGTGCAGAGAGGAACTAAACCTTAATCAATAATGGTAAACGCCAATGCCCTCGAATCGACCATCATTCCTTCAATGAACCAACAGTCGCTGTAGGCAAATGGCATTTGAGAGTTTTAGCTGGATTAACGGAGAGAATGAGGAAAGGGAACAAGGACTCTTAAAATCAATGAATTTAAAAGACACTGAATTTTTGGTCGGGAAGACCAAGAATGGTGACATTCGTAACAAGTTTTACCCAGATATATAAGACGAAATACTCAAATCGAATAGACAGAGATGTCGGAAAAGTTTCTCATAAATCACTGGAATGCACAGAACCTCAGACTAAATCGTCGTCACTAATTCAATCAGAACTAACCCAGATCCATATTCGTTGAATTTTATTAGTTAAATGGGAATTAATGTCATCTGAAAGGATTGCGTTATTAGCTAAAATAAAGCAAACTTATGTTAATAAGGGACCATCTTTGCAATATTGAGCAGATTTAATTCATTTTGCGCGAAATGAGATTACATCCAATTGCGTGATAGTATGGAAAAAAGGTCAGCGTTTACAACACAATTTGGACTTTTATCAATAGGTGTATTCAATTGCATTTTAAGCTAAAGAGTTTAAAAAGATCAAGCGGATTTAGTCACGAATCACAGAAGCCATCAAATTAGAACATTAAAGTGAATTCCGTTTTGTCACCAGAATCCGACCAAACAGAATTTGTGGCCAGAAATATTTAATCCAGTTGAGTACATTCAGCATCTCGTTTAGAACTCTTAACTTTGTGTTTGAGGCTACTGTTCATCAATTTGATACATCACTACTGTTAATCATTTGGCAAAGTACCTTTTGATGTTCAGCCTGCATTTTCAATACCAATTGAACAGTGGTTTATGCTCAATTTGATCGTGGAGTTTTGGCTATGTAGGCTTTCGATATGATGACCCTGTACCACATGAATGAAATTAATAGGAAATTCTCAGCATTACAAGCTTAGACAGTCCAATTCTCCTTCGTTAATCACCTATGATTCTCCGTATGATAAGCAACAAAATTTCACTCAAATATCCTCCTTGAGAAAGTGGTTAGGAAGAATTTCTTCTCCACATACTACTGATTTTTCTTCAGTAATAATATCTTCAAATGAGCAATTATTATGAAACTGGTCTTATCTTATTAAAAAATAGAAATGACAGTAAGGGAGACTGGAACAAATTTATCACTTCAATTACATTTATTTTATAAGCTGATTGAGTAAATGCTTTATTTAATTAAATACATCCACACTTAAGAACTGTCACAAGTGAAAAGTTCTCAATGAATGGTTGTGTTTGATAAAATTCTGATTTTAAAATCAGCGTTGTTGTAAATGAAGTTATCTAAAATCTCTATTTGAAGAAAATTTTTTTGTAATTTCTTCAATAATGAAATTAATAATATCATTTTCCAACTTTTTAAAATAAAAAAATTCAATATCCTGTGTTTTTTTATACCTTTCACAATGGCAGTTACCTTGGCTCAATAAACCTTACCCGAAGATTCGCTAGCACAATTTATTTCTAGTTTAATTAATGCGCAATTAAAGATGTCTACCACACTGACTCATTTCTTCTCAAAAGTTACCGAATTCCTTTTACTACATACAGCCACTTCAAAGGCCTGCACACTCTGTAATTCAAGTCATTTTAAATCACCAGCTTATACAGAATTATTGAAAACCGATTAATATCACTTTCTTGAAAACCACTTAAACATTCTGTGCTTGCACGTATCGTTAAGTGTGTAAGTTTGCAAAATAAACTTAAGTAAGTCGCGAATAGTTTAAGTTTTGAATTATCTTCATCGTTAAGTACAACCAAATTTCCATTCCATCTTCCTACTTCCTTTAAGCCAAAGTGGTTTTCTTTTGATAGTATTAAATTTCGAAGAAATCTCTAAGCTCCACCCTAAACTAAACATTCATCTCAATAAATATTGTCCAAGTGGCAACTATTCCCAAGGACATTTCTGACTTGAAGTCAAAAGGGTACAATTTTGGATTATTCTACTTCATCGTTTGTCTTCAATCCAATTGACTTAAGCCAAAAAATGACATTTATTTAAAGGAGGAAATGCGTCAAAACAGTTCACTTCCTCACATACATGACTATAATCTAACTGTACAATTCAACTAAATGGAATTTCTTTGTAATCGACACTTCTATTTCCAAATCTAAACCTTATCAGAAGCCTTTCATCGAATTTCGCATTTTAGGTATTTAGCCGTAAAAATATTAAAATTTGAAAGAATAAGCAGTCAGTGCTTGCTCTTTAGAAGGGAGAAAATGTCAACAAAACAAGGGGTCAGAGTTGTGA